AAATATAAATTATGTTCACGTAATGAAAACTGCCTTTTAGCAAGGTCGTTCTAAAAGCCATTTCCGTCACGCAAGAGAATGCAAGTTTTAGCTATACTTCAGCTTGTGTACAAGAGTTTCGATAGGAACAAATTGGAAACATGCAAAAGTTTTGAAAAAAAGTCTGCTTAAGACATTTCTGGAGCTTTTGCAATGACTTGTCGATTAACACGAGGAATTGCATGAGGACAACCACGCTTTTGGAGATTTCACAAGTTCACGTGCGGTAGTCTAAGGCCCTTTAACCGTCATGTGGGTAGTCCCGTGATATGCAACTGCTCGAAGTTCGGGGGCCCCTAGAAAATCACCTGAGGCTCCAAACTCCGAAGTAAATCACCTTCAGTGCCAAGTAGACTTTATTAAAAAATAAACCGAATTTTTATGAGATTTCGGTGACATCAATGGAAATGAGTTTCTTTATAGTCTTCCTTTGGAATCTAATAAGTGTCATCGGGGGAGACACCCTCTTTCACTGAAAGCGGATATTACTGACCAGGGTCAACTAGCAAAGAAAATGGCGAAATTTCCTAGAAACTGACTCAAGGTTAATACCATCTTTATCACAATAGCAAATGATTCCTCAAAATGTCTTCCCCTTTATTGAGATTCTTATTTATTTACTTCCTTAGCGGTGTTCCACCTAAGAGGACCTCTCTTGGGTGCCTTAGCTTTTATTATTTGCTTGGACACTTTGCGTTCAATATTCCCAAACCAAATTTTCCCGAGGTGATGTAATATAACTTATTACCAAAAATAGGAATTTCTATAGTGTAGATGCAACGCTGTACACAAATTACAAGCTGTAATCCTGGTGTAAATAAATCATGCTTTCATCATTGAAATTATCAACTGTTCAAAACACGAAAAGATGCCTTTCTGTGCGACTGACTTTTGAAAAAACTGTAAAAATTTGGGGATTAAATCAATTTTAAGAACGTAGTGTTCGAGGAAGTTGAATAAGTGATGAGCTGTGGGAAGGGACTAGGGAACTTTGGCCACTAAATCAGGCGGAGGAAATTTGTCGCTTTTTACCGATCTAATTATAGCTTAAAGAACGAAGCCAGTGGTATGCTTAATCTACATAAAACAAGTTTCTTTCGGAAGAAGAACTGATCGCATCGCCGACATCTAAAACACGTTCTTCGCGTGGCAGATTTTGGCATCCCTTGTGAGTTCCTCTTTATTGTGTCACGTTCGATACCGGATATTTCTAGAAGCCTTTTTGATTGGCCTCAAAAACAATGAGATGGTATTTGAACCAATCAGAACACCGTTTTATGTTATGGTTTTTGTTATGGCGCGCCACAGATTGAACTTGTGATTAGGATGTTGCACTTAAACGATTACCTCACTTTTTTGTAGTCATATGCGTGTCATAAGCTAAGCCGTTCTGTGCTGGTCCGGGGAAAAGTACAACTGTCATTAAGTGAAGTCCTTCATTCGTTTGAGCAAGCAAGAAGGGAAGCATGTTAGACACATGCAGAGAAGGAAATTTTGAAGAAGTACGCATCAGTGGAAAGCCATTTCAATGTAATCGTCGCGGTTGCGTCGCTTCAACGAACTTTTCGTGCAAAACTAACAAGTTCGAACTCTGCAGAAACACGAACGAAAGTGCAAGGTGGATGCACGTTCCAGAAAATATCGGTAAGGAAATGATTCCAAACACTGGCCGTCTCGTAGGATCGGGAGGTTTTGGAACTGTGTACGAGGCGTTTTTGGATGGTAAAAAACTGGCCGTTAAGAAAATGCATCGAAACATGAAAAACCCGCACGCACTGTATGAGAGTGTTCAAGCAGAGAAACTGGCTCTCCCGTTGAAACATCCTAACATTGTACGGACTCTGGCTGTTTTTGAGCTAGAAAATATGCAAGATGTGTGGATTCTCATGGAATTTGCTGGTAACAGGACATTACAGGCGATTATTGACGATGATCGAGAAGTTCTGGGTAGTTCTCGCCGATGGAATTATGTGCGTGACATTGCCTGCGCGCTAAAATTCGTCCACGAGAATAGTCTCGTACATTTGGACTTAAAACCTGCAAATGTTATCGTCGATCGCCAAGATCTCTGCAAACTGGGTGATTTTGGATGTTGTCAGAGTATTGGATTAACTGCTAAGGACGAAACATTGCTTCCTCCGAGTCCCGCACCAAGCCCGAGAAGTTTACTGACTGGAACATTCGCGTACCGGGCACCGGAGTTGTTAAAAGGCGAACTACCCAGCGAAAAAGCAGACATGTACTCACTTGGCATTTGCCTATGGCAGATGCTTTTCCGGGAACATCCCTATGGACTAGAAAGCCACTTTGTCGTTATTTTTGGAGTAGTTGCGCATCACTTAAGACCGTCGCTTGTTAATTTGCCGGCGTTGGCGTCAACCGATTCAGACACGCCGGCTTATATTGAACTCATGAAGTTGATGTGGCATGCGAGCCCACTCTCCAGACCTACTGCCGAGGACGTTTTAAAAATTGTGGACGATATGAAAACCATGTGACAATCTGGTTCAACACATGTCGAATTGTACGCTAGTGCACGTAGGACCTTGTTAGTTTGCACGTAGGCAAGCAACGAAGGTTGTAGAATTGTCACTTTGCATTTGCCACGACAGAATTAATTTTTTACGATTTTATTTCTTCAAAATTTCTCGGAATTGTTTCATTTCAACTAAAACGAAATTTTCACTTTTTTCTACCGGATGTTTTAAGAGAATCTAAAGGTCAAATTGTTGACCGGTTTCGTGTTGAAATTCCGTGTATGTATGTTGTTGTATTTTGTGGCTGCTGTCACGACGACGTATTTGCATAAATCTCATTTACGCTTCAATACAAAAGATCTACGCAGTTTCCATTCGTAGACGAAATTTGTGATTTTGTAGTCAATTCTCAAAGGAATCTAGGTTTTCTAAAGAAAGCTTACACAGATAAAAAGGATAATTTATTACTGTATGTTTTGGTACTTTTGAGGCAAATTTCGACTTCCGTGACATGTAGCTGGAATTGGAAAATGGATCATTATTCGTAAAAGTGCTTTCTCATCCTGTAGAGTGAACTTTTTATAGATTGCACGTAAATTTAAGATAAATGTGTATTAGTTTCCAAGGAGATCCTATTTGTGAGATTTTGTAGTGAGCCGTAAAATTCATAACTATTATTTTCCCCTAGACATCATAATCCTTCGTAATTGTAAGGTTTACCTGAATCTGAAAGTAATGTTTTTTTTAGGTTGCATAAGGTATTGTTGTCGTTTTTTTTTAATGGTTTTGAACTTTCATAGTGCTTTTTCAAAAATTTCTATTCTTTATATTAATCTTAACTTTATTTACAATTTTGGTACATTTTGTGGGCCAGACTGGTGCAAAAAATGTTTTTTCATTTTTTTATTTCCATTTAGTGGAAACCAGTACTATAATCTTAATGCTATAAAATAAAAATTGCATCGTGAAAAAAAATTTGAGCAATTTAGTGTCTACAATGTATCATGCAAGATGTAAATAGTATTGCAAATTCATGATTTGAAACCTAGATTGTTGAATAATTGTATATTGATACCAAACATGTATTATAAAATTTAAAGATTTAGGAAAGTTTATTTATTAGTTAAAGGAAAAATTATTAATTAGATTATTATTCTAATAGAATCATCTACAATTTTCACAGCTTGATGAAAGCTAGTAGATAACTACAAAAAAGTCTGAGACTGAAATCGAAATATTGTTTGTACAGAGATCTGCAGATTGTTGTAACTTAAGGTTGAACTGTACAAAATAAAACATATGCTAAAAGGAAACTTGAGATTTTGTGTACATATTACTGAACTTTACAGGTTTTACAATTCTGTTGTTCAGGGTTGTTTTGAAAAACAAGGTTGCTGGAAAATGCACCCTATATGAAGACCATTAATATCTTAACATCTTGTCACTCTTGAAAGATGCAGAAAAATTGAATAATTTTGTGATGATTTCCAGACATGACCTGACAGACCTTTTGAAGGAAATGCTCTGTTGTCAGAAAAAAAAATAGAGCATTTATCAATTCCTTATCCATTCATCAATGAATAAATAGGTGAGTTGTAAGTAAAATATTTCCCTGAAAACATTCTCCTATTTTTCAATGTGTGTGATTTAATGCACAGTTTTGCTAATTTTTTTACTTGGGTTATAACCTACTTTCACGGTCCTATTTGAACAAAAATTTGGGGCTTTGAGGTCATGTTTATTGAAAATAAAAATAGTTGAACCTAAATCAGGGCAATACACTCTCTTCTGAAATGTCATTGCTCTGGCTTATCCTTTCACAGACACGATTTCCACCAGAAAACGAACATGAACCAGTTGAGAGAATCAAACTGATTTGATAGAGTTTTGGTCATTTTCTTCTGTAATAGCTTTCATTGTTGCATGATATGATCAGGATTAATTCTTTGCGATAAACTAATTGCAATATCAGCTTTGTCAATGATGTTCATTTTCTGCATTAACCTACATAACATCAGGAAGTCTTTAGTATTCTGACCAAAAGCAGGAAAACTGGCAAAGAAGCAAAACCATTAAGCCAACACACAAGCTGAAAGGGGAAAGAATCAAGTGAGCAATTAGCTTTTGAAATTGGTACAGTAGAGTTTTCAAAAGGAAAGGGGTATTGTTTTGAATAAATTTGACTACAGCCCTAACTTAAGAAAGCTGTCAATACCAGTCAACTTTTAGAAAATTTGTGACTGTTTTCCTTGTTTCTCAGATAACTGAACTCGTAAGTGCTTAATATGAATAGGAACTACATAAACATATAAACGACCCTACGTGACTGCGAGTTTAGTTTTTAAATCAGGAAGAGGAAAATTAAAATAAGCCTAAACGAGTAGGGAACTACACGAAAGATCGGGAAAGTTACCCGTAGTTTCGGGCGAATACTCGCTCGTGCTCATTTGAAACTGGGACCTAACCTTACACTCAACAAACAAAATGGCGGAGGTAGAGGACGTCTCGGATGAGCAGCAACAAATCTCAGGTTCGCCTTGCGACGAAATCGATCCAGCAGAAATTTTTGAAAACCAGGGATGTTTGGGGGTTGAAATATTTCCTGCGGATGACAGAGGATCTGGCTCAGAGTTTGACTCTGAGCGCGAAGAGATTGTTGATTTGTCATCTGAGAATGAGCTTTCCGACAGTTTTCCATACGGGGTAACTCCGCCGAGAAATATAAGAAGACGCAAAGAGAAGTCAAGAAGAGAAAAAGATAAAGTGATCTCTCTCCTTAAAAGTCCTGTAACTCGTTCATATGGATCTAATCCTTCGGAAAGAACAGAGCTGGACAGACGGAAAAAGCGGGGTTCTACTCAGCTGACAACTGAACGAGCTTTCCAGAGACAACTCAAGCGAGGCAGTGTTGATGTTGGGTTTGTCAGTGTTGAAAGTGGTGTCCATTCGTCAGACACTTCAAAGTCTTTAGATATGCCCAGCATCAAGATCGAAACCTCAAGTCCATTCATGTCCTTGGACTGCGTTTGCGAAGATTCTTCCGATACTTCAGGCATATATATGCGTGCCAGTACTGTCACGGAATCTGGTGCCATTACTCGAAGAAACGCCGGAGGACACAAGAAAGCATCTCGCTCAGAATCTGCTCCTCATAGTTCTTCTACATCTAAAAATTTTCTCAATCCCTATTGTCCAGAGGCGAGAATGGAGTTCTATAGAACATTTTCTCTTTTGATCAAACTAGGCTCATTGGCTCATAAACAGCAAGAAAGACAGTATGGAGTTGATAACAGTGCTCTTGAGAGGCAAAGTTCAGAAGAAAATAAAAAATGGCAAGTGGCATTGTCACAAGCACTTTGGCTTGAACTGCAGGCTTGGCATGCAAACCGAACCATGGCAGAACAAGATCAGTATTTAGTTCAAGCTCGTGCTAATGTGGAAGAGGTGCTAGATGAGGTTATAAATTTTAAAGTTAAGAAACAAGATGGGGACAGTCAGACTTTGAATGAAGAAACTGAGAAAAACAATTGTGAAAACAATCAAGATGCAAAAGGAGATTCTGGTGTTCTTGATACTGATGGAACTGTCTGTAGTACCAATGATGATTTGCCTACTTCAACACAGTCATCACATTCAGTTGACCCTTCAGTGCACAATTCTTATACAGCAGATCAAGAAAATTTTTTTCAGACTTTGGAGACATCTGACACAGAACATTGTGTAAATGAAAACAGTGAGCTTTCTTCTACTGAGACAGATAGCTTTAAAAATGACCTTGACAGAGATGCGCCAGATTACAAAGCTTTACGAAGCAGACTTTCACTAGATTTTAATCATAGAAACCAGAAACAGTGTCCCAGTGAAGCAAGAGAGGATTGTTTCTCAGATAAAACATACTGTCAGCTAAAAGCCGCCATAGATCAAGTTACAGAACTCTTTGACAAATTGGAAATGATTGAGCATCTTTATCCCACTCGTAAGAACCTTGGAGAGCAAAATGAAAAGTACACAAGCAAAGATTTCACAAGGAACTTTGAAACATTGTGTTTGTGGTTGAATGTAACCAGAGAATTATACCACAAGCTACATTCGATTGCTAAGTTTGTTGGTGTGAATCCAGATGATACAAAAGTTTGGCAAGATTGGTTAGATGTTGGTCTTGGAAGATTGGGTATGTATATTTGTATGGTAGCTAAATTTTGTGCACGGATTTCAGCTTTATTTTCCTTTGTTTTGGGTGTGTTAACCTCTTAACTCCTAGAAGTGATTAACTTCTAAGCATAATATCCATACATTGTCAAGCAAGCACATAAAAAGAATACTCAAGCTTATCAGGTAGAAGCTGTTATCTTGATCTAACACAAATTTCTTTTACTAATTCAAGGAAATATGTAGAGGCTAGAAGGGAGAATTAACAATCAGATCCTGGAAGTTGAAGGGTTACTGGGAAATTTTGGGTTTGAAACACAAGAAATTACAATTTAGTCCAAAGTTAAAAATTCAGCCACAACATGAATGTGTGTAATCCTTATTATCATAATTGCTCCAGTGCTTACAGAGATGCTCAAACTCTGATTGGTTGAGGATTGCATTTCATCTTACCATCATCACCTTGCACGAGGTGTTTATAGTACTGAGGTGCTAAATTTTAAAAAGGCTACCTGGCATTTTTTTCATTGTTACAGAGGAAGTGATGTACACAATAATGAAAATTCAATTCTTAAGAATGCAAAAGATGCTATAAGGTTTGAAGTAATACTTTTCAAAAGAAAGACATCATGGACTTTTTTATCAATTGAATCAAACAAACCTTTCAAATTCTAGTAGAAACTGGCTCTTTATCTTTCTCTGAGAAATCAAAACAATTAATGCCAAATGGTTTTAACATCAAAAAGAATTCACAACAGAATTTGAAAGCACCAAATAAGTAAATATACTAACTTTTGTTGGGGGGTTATTCAACAATATTCACTTTGCCTTCAGCAAATAGTTATTAAATGATGGCAAAACAAGTTAACCTTCCATTCACTAACATCAATATCCTTATTCTCCCTACTCTTCTCTATACATTTCTCTGTAGTTAGAAGGAGAATTTGTTTAAAAATCAAAGCTTCTAAAGTTGGCAATCATTTCCTTGATTCTCATAACCACAAGAATGATTCAGTTAGTAGTATTACATTGCCTGCTCAGGTGTGAATACTATATAAATTCAGTGAGTTAACTTTTGTATTTTATTTATTTATTTATTTGGAAGTAAATTTTTGCAGATAATATGTGCCCAGCCTCTGACTTGAATCTTGATGACAATGAAACTTATTTTTCATTATCTGATGATGATAATGATGATGAGGAAGAGGAGGTTGAGAGCAATGAAGATGATGATGATGATGCTGATGATACTGAACAGAAAAATGGTACTGTTCCTTCGTCTCCAATGAGAACAATGTCATATGAGAGTCAGACAAGCACGCCTTCACGGCCATCAAGAGCAAGTAGCAACTTGTCCAACTTCAAGTGGAGTTCAACATCAAGGTACAGACCATTTGTTGATCACAGCATCAAGAAGATGGGGTTGATAAAACTTGGGAAGAGATTAGGAGACATTCTGGACACTAGTATGATGAAGGCTAGACAAGCCCTGGTGCTTCCAAGCAACAAATGCCAGGACAATGAATGCCAGTGTTGTAACCCTGTTAAATTGGAGCACAGGAAGTGGTCTGTAAATCATTTGGATGCACTCATGAACGGAAAAGAAGAACCAATTCAACTGTTCAGCTGTAGCTGTCATCCTCATAGAAGAGCAATGCGCTGTGGGAGTGAGAATTTTGATCATGGGATTTGGGTGGAGGAGTTCATTAAAGAAACTGGTCTGCCCTCCTTTCGATTATTGTACTTGTTTCTGGCACGAGTTCCATTAGACATCATCCATGAATGTTTGCGTCTGAGGCTGCAGCATCGGCCCAAGGGGGAGCCATCATCATTGAGTGTGAGACAGGTCAGACACAAGATTAGATATTTGGTTAAGTCATATTCTCTAAACATTAATCTATACACTGTTCTCTATATATTTCTTTATGATAATGACGAGGAGAGTATGGGTAGCAATCAAGAACTTCTTTAGCTGGTGGTCATTTCCTTTTGTCTCATGTCTCTAATGTGTGATTCAGTGGGGATACTATAAAGAGAAATTAGATGAAAGTCATGTAAAAATAATTAATAATCGCTGATTTTTTCTTATAACTAGCTAAGACACAAAGGATAGGGATAGGAGAGCTGTGTATTTACTCGTATTTACATTAAAGGAGGGGTGGGGTTCTTGGTACTGGTTAGATTTTAACAAAATTTAATTTTGGTCTGATGTGTATTTGCTTGAAGGAACCAATACTTCTACAAACTTTGATTTGGTTTCTTGCCATAATTTTTTTTTAGCATGAAAAGATTCTGAATAATGCAACTTTTTCATCCTTACTTCTTGTTTGTCTTTTGGTTGCTTTCACTGCATTTCCTCCTCCAGAATATTAACCATTCAGGGAAAAGTATGATTTATGGAAAATATATATATATTCTCAGCTACAGCACTCAGTGACTTTGTTATACACTCAGTCACTTTTTTTTAATATTTTTTTTATACACAGCTTCTGCGAGAGTGTAAAGATGTGCTGTTAGGTGGTGTTCTTGTGAAAGACTATTACCTTGATCTTGTGGGTGGAATTTCAAATTCAGAAGACTTAAACAAGGAAAACACAGAAAGTGACATTGAAGGCTTTGAGCAGGATCTTCAGAGTTTGCTGCTGGTAATTTTTGGTTACTATCTTATCTCAGCATGAAATTGAATTTGAGTTCATTGTGAAACATGCATCATTATGTAAAGTCCATGGTTGTCTGCAGGCTAAGGGAATATAATTGACGTAATTGGATCTTCTGTCTTATAAAAAATAAGGACAGGAAATTTTTCTATATGAACATGAATCACTTATCAGAATAAAGCGTGGAAGATTTCACCTTGTTTTACTCCATCACTGAGCTGAACACTGAAATTTCCATAAGTAATATTGACTGAGCTGAAATTTTTCCTTTGTATATGAACAAGAGGTGGACATTTTTTTTTTTCTTGGTAACCTAGCAAGTCCAGTTACCAGGCTCACATAAAGAATCTATTGATAAAGTCTGCCAAATAGTTAACCATTTCCTCCTGAAAAACATCTATAAAATTGTTTACTGAGGGGTAAACACTGAGAGTCAGCACAAGCCCAGAAAATGCACAGCCTCTGCTTCATGTATAAACAAGGACATACCAATGAGTATCCACTTTATTGTGGGTGCAACCATCTTAATTTTAATAACATATGATCACTAAGTATGATAGATAAAATGTCAGTGAGAAAGAGAGGTATGCCACAGATGTTCTTCTGCTTTTGTTAAGCTGTTCTTTATATCTTTTTCAATTAGGTTTATTTTGAGTATTTGCACAATGTCATCCACTTGGTCCAGAGGCTTCCTCAGGCATCCAAAGGACTAAAAAACATTCTTGAAGAAGAGTGGAGCTTTGTGAAGAAACATTGCCGCCATATTAGAGGAGGAGAAGTGGAAGGAGGAACAAGATTTTGGTATTGAAATAATTTCTGTGACAAGTTGACATAGCACCATAATTAATAATTGCACTGCAACACTAAGATTAAAAAAAAACTGTTTATATACATGTTGGGGAAAGATGCAAAAACCTATCAAGAGTGTGGGTGGGCCAAAGGAAATAATATATCTTCATGATGATTTGAGCCCTAGTCAGTTAAGTTGTTGAGTTTTTCTACTCTACCATTGTGGTCATGTAATTGGTTTACAGTGTTCTCCTTTTCAGGTGATCAGAGGTTAAACTTACCACCTAAACTTGCTTGAAATTCTTGAAAATTCAACAAGTAAAAGGGTTGTTCTATTGGCTTGAAAATTTCTCTTACCTGGCATGCTTGAAATAACAGAATACAATGGGTTTAAGATCCTGAATATGGCAAGGATCTGTAATGTTGAAAGCATCAGCAGAGATATAGAATGAGTGCCACCAGCATTTTATAAACACTATTACACAGTATAAGTGCTCTTTGAGAAATCATTGTGATTTTGGGAATTATGAATGATCATTACTTTTAATTCTGTTGATTATTTTTTCCTCTTTTCAGTGTCATGGCTTCAGGACTGCTTGAGTCAACTGGTGACTTTCTAGAGTCTGAGTTAGATCAGAGTTGCTCAGATCTTCACAACAACACTGATCATGGTGAAGATCTCAGGTACAGTTTATAGTGTTGGATTACAGATGGATTAAAATCAATGATGAAATTTAACAAAACAACTGGAATTGTGCCAACCACTGCAATTGCAAATATTACTAAAATTTCTAGGCGCCCAAGGTAAATCAGTGGCAAAATGCAACTTAGTGTCAGTGAGACTTGGCTGTGAAATAGCTGGAACTTGAAAATATTACGGATTAAAATTAGCAAAAACTGTCTGTTAAAATATTTTTCAAGTCCTATCATGATCATCATGCCATTTTAGTAAGATGCTGTGTATAAGCAGTGATGGCTAGGTTTTTAATGCAGGGGAAACAGTGATACTTTTTATCATAAGCTACTGGTATTTTGCTGCTGAGACTATAGTAAGCTCTGACAATGTGATACACTTAGCCTGTGTGTCAGAGTTTTTTTTATAATCATGTAATGTTCTGTCTCTACAGGAGGAAAGTGCTCGAAGCTTGCAGAGGTTTTAAACTTTTGTTTAATGAAGCGAGAGAAAGGGCCTCTAAAGCCCTTGGTTTCACCAAGAAACTCCAGAATGACCTTGAAAATGCTGCAAAGTTTAGCATTGATGTACCCATGAATGAGCTTTTGATGAGGCTAGAAGCTAGTGGACATGTTCAGGTAATGAAGAAATAACCTTTACAATTTCAATGTGCAAACTAATTTCTCATTACAATCAAATTTAAATGTAAGAGTACTACATAATATATAATATACTTTTCAGGTCATAGTTAGACACACAGCTGGACTTTTTATGTTTGTGCCAAAAACAATGGTGAAGAAAAAATGGTTAGTTCAGTCAAATATTAATTTTTAGACCCCTAAGAGTGATTAGCCTCTAATTTGTCTCTACAACATCACCCCTGCATCTCGCATTAAAGTTATGAGAAAAAAGAAAAGGGTTACAACTAAAAGCAGCTCTTTCTTGTAAAGCAAATTCTCCTTGTCAGTGTCACGAGAAATGCATAAAGAATATATAGTATGGAGAATATGCATACTGATGTTATGGTGCAAAGCTGATTGATGAGCCTTTAAGCAGGGATAGTCTAAAAGGAATACCTCCTAGGACAGTTCACAAATAGATGGGCCTATGAAAGGGTTGGGGAGGGTTGATGTGTCAAATTTAAACTCTAGTTTGACGTCATCCTTTTGTTTCAATGTTACTACAGTCAAATTATCCACCTGTTGAATTCTTGCTGTGTTCATGAAGAACATGGTGATCAAGTTGTTTCGGATGGTTCTGGATATCTCCTCATTTTACCACCGTGTGCCTTAGAGAATGGAAATGATGTGCCTGTAACATGGAATGGCAAGACGGTTGTGGTGAGCCCAACCATGGATACTGCTATTAGTTTAGCAGACATACAGGTACGTTGTCAGCCTCTGCTCTTCAGCTATCCCTCAGCACTTCAGGCTGCAATAGTTTGGGTCACTGTTGCACACAGAAAATAATTTAACCACAAAGTTTTTGTGCAAGTTTCTAAGTAGGTATTCATGTAGAAAGCTGTCACAAGTTTACTATTTACATTGTAACCATTCAACTCTCATGAGTGACCAAAACAGAATTTCTCCTTACAACATCAAAACAAAATCAAACAGGCAAGTTATGGGAATAAAGAAAAATATAAATTAGGGAGGTTATTAGTTGAACTAATGCCAAATTCTCTAAACTCACATCATATGATTTGCTTAACAGACAGTAAGGAGAATTACTAATGAGATCATGGGAGTGAAAGGGTTCATGGACAGTTATTGTAGTCTCAGTACTAACAATGAAAACTTTTCCAGTTTACCTTGATTGGTGGAGTATTAAGACTTAAAAGTTGCTTGAAAGTGCAAAATTGACAGCCATACTTCTTATCTCATAGACATGGGGTATTATTGCCATTTTATTCCCAGCAACTAAAATTCCATTTGTAGTAACCATGTAATAATAATTTTTGGTTACCAAATGCAACTTTGAAAAGAGTTGAGTCTGGAGACCTGCCTCTAGAAATGAATAAGGTACAAAGTCATCTACAACACACACTATGGAATTGTCAGAGGAAGTAAATTTCTAAAGAAACAGAGGTATTGCATCAATGGGGGTATTGCAAGCTTGGTTAGTATTATCAACTGAGTTGATAAAGTAAATTGGCCACTGTTAAGAGTTTCTAAAGCAGACATTTTGAGCATTAGCCCTATGTCAGAGTGAAGGGCTGAAATAAGGCTAATGTTTGAAACATCGCTTAAAAGCTGTTAACAGTGGCCAATTTACAGTATTTACTCAGTTTATAAAACCTGTTATCCTGCTATGGAATTGCTTTTCGTGAAAATATCCTGTATATCCATGGGTGGTATTTACTTGCATCCACCAGTAGATGTCATGCCTGACATTAGAGCCAATTGAATCATCTTTACAACATACATGTACTAAAAACAGCACTTTTCCTTAACTTTTTTTTTTTCAGGTTGGAGGTATGATTTTAGTGGTACAGAATTCCAAAGACTTGGATGAGCAGCGTGAAGTATTTCTTGACAGCATGAGTTATTCTGTCAGCATTGTAAAGCAAAGGACATCCAGTCATCAAGCTATTGCAGAAGCACTTGATGAATTGCAGGTAGGACATAATGGCAATCTACAATTATAATATACATGTAACTGATCCAACAGTGGTACCTGTGGTTACCACAAGTGACATGAAATATCACCAGGAAAGAAATCTAACACACCTTAGAGAACTGTTTTTTCTCTTTTTGGTGTTGGTTCTAACAGAAATCTTTATAAGTATCAGGATTTATCAGTTCTATTGAATTAACCCTGAAACTCCCAGAAGTAATTAAAATGTAACTTCTTCCCATAATATCCAAAGATTATCCAGCAAAAAAGTAATGAGAAGCTCAAAGAAGTTATTACCTTGATCTAAAACCACATTGTTTATAACTAGTTTACAGGGAAATGTGTTACAGCTAGAGGGGAAAATTAACTTCCAGATCTTGGAAGCTAAAGAGTTAAGGTTATGTCCCTTTCAGGAAGCCTGTCTGAGTCTCCGTGAGAAAATTGTTAGTGCTGTTGAAAGAGTTGATGAGAACTTGGATCTTGATAGCATGTTTGAAATGGAAGAGACAGAGAAGGCCATGGTTTATCACACCTACACAGAAACTATGCACCTTTGTTACAATGTTGGTTTTGAGGTACATATAACTTGCTTATCATGTCGACACCTGAATTTGCCTTTTGCAGTTACATACTCCTGAAGTGTTTGGTATTTGTACATTTGTTTTGCAATTATTAGCTTTGATGCTCGAATCATAGACAAGTCACCTTACTCCAAGTTTATACCGTAATTACATAACTTTGAAATAAACACGAGTTTTGAAATTGCATTTCAAGTATCAAAAAGAGGTGGCACGTTTAGTATTTGGAGAGAGAAAGGACACTCTTGGGCAAAAAATGCTGAATTTTTCCAAGCAATGGATGAAGTTTGTAATGTCAAAGTGCGAGAGAGGAAGAGGCACAAGACCAAGGTATGGTAGTTAAAAAAAAGAATAAAAAAAAAGGTAAACAATTCTTAAGTCTGCCCTTTTGGACAGAGTGGATTATCTTGCGTTTTAAATTTCAGCTGTGTCGTTCAGTTCATTTATTTTTTAATATAAATTTAAACGTTTCTTTGTAGATGGGCAAACCAAGGCCTTGACTTTCTTACAGTAGCATGTGATCCCAAGACATTGAACACTTTATCAGAGTCTGCATTCCAGGTATGAATTGAAAATACATACTTCTCGTTCATGGGATATCTTGTAAACTTTGCGAAGATCAATTAGGCTTCTTCCAGATTTGTTGTCTCTGCTATGATCGTATTAAATCTTTTTTGAACTGACATTTTCTTTACAATTTGCTCTTGAAGGAATTGAAGAAAACGATCAACGGTTGTATTTGTCACGTGATTGGAAGTGCAGAGAGCTGCAGTGGGGTCGCAAGTCCAGGTACACATTTCTTAAATATGGATTGCTTTTGACTAATAATTAAAAAAAGAGAGATATTATTTTATAATTATCCGCTGAAGGCTTCTGTTAATTACTAGCTTCTTAGCCTGCAGTGCAGACGTCTTATTTGGACGAGTTAACGGTACAAGCTCACGATCGTTTATACGACCGGCCATGTTTGATTTAGAGTAAGATTGGACGGTGGGGGAATGGGGTAGGGAAAGGCAAAAAGAAGTAATTTCTATTGCCCCACCCCCTCCCCTCTCCTTCCCTTTGATCGTGGCACAGCCCATTGAGAAAAATTTCATTCTTTGCCCTTGCCTTCCACCGTTGTAAAGATCAAAGATGGCAGCTATAACTTTCATCAAGAAAATATTGTGCACTCGCTCACCAAAACTACTAGCTTCTGTGACTGTGGCAGCGACTATATTTTCATCCAACACATAAAATGCAGCCTGTGCGACCAAGTGCCCCCCCCCCTCCCCCCACCCTACAGAACCTTTTAGCTATCTAACTCCAAGTTGTACTCCTCAGCTGCGCCACGAAAATAGCCGACTTATGTTCCTCCTAGCTCTTGAGATTTTTAACCACTTAATTTTTATTTGGAATATCATGCCCTTCTTTGTGCATTGCACCGAAAAGATTACCTTTACTCAATCCTGTAAGTGGAACTCCAAATGCAAAGTTATTGTTGTATCCCAAGTTGAACGAGGTATCTTTTTTATACCAAACGTAATACTTGCTATGTTGCTCTCTCTCTCCCCCCCAGCATACAGATCTCAGAGTCCAGCTTGCCCATCCCCAGTGTTTGGCAGAAGTGGTTCCACAGGAGGACTTCTGAGACCTCTGTCATGGCCGGCAGGAAAGCCTTCCAAATCCCCAGGAGACCCGGCGGATTCTGATGAAAATCAGTCCACGCGACGGCAGCTGTCAGATCCTCTGGCCAAGCCACAGTTCCAGAGTCTAGCAACAGACGTTAATGGTTAGAAGCTTTTACAATTATTGAGTCATGTCTTAAACCCTCAACTCCCATAATTCTGCCTTCTAGGTTCTAAAAGAATTCGGTTCTGTATCTAGATAACTCTACCGAGCTGATATTTTTGTCTTTTGTTTTCACCTTTGTACTGGAGAATATATTTATTGAGTAATTTTTGATTGAATGTCGAGAGTAATCTGGGATTGCTGTGATTTTCTTTTACTTAGCTCTGTAATTGGTCCGGAAAACTCGCGCCACCGTCATAACCAATCAGATTTAAAACTTATGGAACTTGTATTTTCCCGCACTTCAGGCAGTTTGATTGGTTTTTATTTGAGTTCTCATTGGCTCCTTGTGCTATTTTTCATTCTTTTGATTGGCCGTTGTCATTACTATTGTTTTTCTTAAACGACACTCAGTCGAAATGCTCTCTAGTAGCAGATGTTACATGTTAATACTTACTGGGAGTTAAAGAAGGGAACCTGTCAATGCAATTCGTACACGAAAGTCTCAATGGGGTTGACCGTTAGCCGTAAAACAGCCAAAAACTTTAGCCAGTAGGAGTGAAAATTTATAAATTTTTAGTCATAAAAAAAAGGTTAACGGTAAACAGTTTTCCTTCCGCAATGTGTCAATTTGGGCTAACTCCTAACTGTAAATTGGCCAAAATTTCAACCGTTAGCTGTAAAAACCATCATCTCATTGAGACCCTCTTACGCGCTGCTACAAGATTTCCTGACAATTTCTTTTTCTTTAGGGAACGATGGTGAAGGCGAGAATGAAGAAGAAGGTGAAAAGGATGGCATTAAACATAAGGATAGCTTTGTGGCAGAGCCAGGCGCACCCCGGTTAGAAAAAGTTCGTCACTCCTTGAATAAACTGGAAAGGAAGAGAAACGATTATCTATATGAAAAGCATGTGATTGGGCGAGTGAGCAACAGACGCCGTGATATAGTCAAGGAACTGGCTTGCATTTCCAGCAGAAAAGTGCCATTTAAGTGGCAGCGAGGAAATAAAATAGGTACAGTTATGATTAAAAACTCTCAGGCTTTCTTGTGTTGTTAAAGTCCAGTTTCAGCTGTTTACAGTATCAAGACTTATTTTCGTGGGAAAGAAACTCAAAGAAATATATTGAGTCACCTACTATCATTAAAGAACCCCTCCTCTCCACTCTTGTTTCGTGGGGATAGCTGAATGAACGGAAATTAAATTGTCACAAAACCTGTGTACCATTTGGTTCTCCTTTGCGAGGAGCCAGTGGCAAAATTTACTGTGTTAACCTCCTGAAGCGCGGAAAACTTTAGTGACCAAGTGTCGATTGGTGCCAGGTCGGAATCTGTTTGGTTGGGACTAATCACGGAGCGTTAACGAAATATTGCTGTACAGGATTAGTTTCGAGATGCTCTTTAAATCGCTCTACTCTGTGGAATTGAAGACTTGCAAACTATGTTTGTATCACGTTTTGCCTCGTAGGTGAAGGCCAGTTTGGAAAAGTGTACGCTTGTGTTAATCTGGATACAGGTGAAATGATGGCTGTGAAACAGGTTAGAGATCAATACTAAGAATGTTTAAGCGTGTCTTACTTTTATTGATAAAATTTCATGGTTAGGAGGAAAGTGAAGATGGTAAATTTTTAGCGTAGTCGTCGAAAAAAGAAAATCGTTTTTTGTTAGGCCTTGAGCATTCTACACTTGTGACAAAACGAATGATAACTCTCTTAATTTCTTTGAGGTGAAAATCAAACCTTTTTCTTTAAGGCTAAGCAAGATCTCCTTCTTATTGTGTCTTCGATGATTTTTTTAATCAAACTTGCAGAAGAAACCGTTAATTTAATTTTTTTGCTACAGATCAAATTTCAACCGAACGATCATGGTGAAATACGGGATTTAGCGGATGAAATTAAGAACTTTGAAGGAATACGACATGAAAGTCTGGTGAAGTACTATGGTGTTGAACTTCATCGGGTGAGCTTACACACAATTTTCGTTTAAACTAAATCAAGATTCGACGCGACAACACAGCGGTCATATGTTTACACATGTGCTGTCTTTGTAATCACGAAGTCACTGGTAGAGTGTTTTCCGTCTGTAAGAACTAACTTGTCCCAGACGAGTCATATCACAAACAGTCACACAAGCCAGTAAGTCACGGTGTTTAAGAAGCGTATAACTTTCTTGGTAAAGATCAAAACAGAGTAGTATATCGATAGGCTACCTGTCCTTAAATAAGCTTTCTGTTCGAAAAGTCTCGGGTTTCCTTTTCCCTGCTTATGTTTCCTTTTACAGATTTTTATGAACGTTTCAATTTTCTTTCGCCTGTTTTGCGAGGCAGCGTTGTTTCTTATGTTATCCTTTAAAAATGTGCGCGAGAAATTGGCGCGCGGCCGGCCAAAATTGATCTTCCCGCGCGTGCCAGACATTTTACCGCTGTGTTGTTCCCGACTGGTTTGTAGGACTTTTCCTGAAGCTTACCTTCATAATTTTACATATACCAGGTTGCTCTTTGGCTAAGTTACTGTAGTTTTATCATTTCCGTCTCATAATTTACAGCATGGAGTTCTCAAGCTGTTCATAGCGTGAACGAAAAGCGAAAGGAAACGAATTAAACGCAGTGAACTCACAACAAGGAAAAAGAGAGAAAACAAATTTTACGGTCGAAAAATGAAAGAAAATTAGTAGTTATGATTAGTGTCGTTAAATGTTTGTGGTGCCAGCTGCATGAGCTACTTAGGTGGAACAGTACATGGAAAGTAAGAGCTATACGTTTGCTTGGAATTGTGCTTTTCAGGACGAGATGTTCATCTTTATGGAATACTGTGCGGACGGCACTATATCAGACGTTGCCAAACTTGGCCTCCCAGAAACAATGATCAGAGTGTATGCTTACCAGATTCTTGTTGCCGTCAGCGTGCTTCACGAAAAGGGTATTGTGCACAGAGATGTCAAAGGTGGGTTTCACTGCATCTTGGAAATTAACTGATACGTTTTGGTAGGCAATATAGGAAGACAACCCATTGCTACAGTAATACAGTGTTGCTGCTCCTCTTGGAAGGAATACTGGCGTATGCAGGTTACATTTCTGAGCGGAGAAAAACTGTACGAGACAAATGCTATGAATAACTAAAATTAGGAATGTTGTGGCTGAGTTTTTGGTAATTGTTTAGGCCTGTTAGATTATCTTGAAATCCTTGTGTGAGTCTTGTGAGCCTTGGTTTATCATGTGCTGCAAGACTACACATTTATTTTTACCTTTTGAGAGACTGTTGTAATAGCGCTTAATTCTTTTACGATAATCATCATCGCTGGTCGTTTTTGTCCTTGCTTAGAGTCCTCAACGGGAATGTTTTTTAGGTTTTAGTTCTCGAAGATTGGTTGTTTTTTAAGTACTTTGTTGTTCATTTCGAATGTCTCGTGAAATTTTTTTGGGTTAGTGTTCTAAAAATATGTTTACTCTGTCAAGGTCAGTTGTCCTGTAAGCTCGAACATGCCTACCGATAGGATACGCAATAGCATGTTCTTGGGGCTGAAAACTGCCTGGACGATGAGCTGCCACTCCAAACAGCGCTAAAAGTATACGTTCAAAGCATACGCAAGAACGCTTTAAACGAAGGGCACATGGAATTACGAAGCATGCGCATATGCAAAACCGCTGACTACTAGAGAACGCTGATGTTCTTTGTTGTAAACTCCCTTAAATCGCATTAATAAAGAGAGAGAGAGAGTCTCAGAAAGTGAGTAAAAGTTCCTGATCAGACTCCTGGTGCCTCCGTTTGCACGAGTGACTCAAGCTAGTTTACGCCAATAATCCAACACAAGGATGGCAAGGCTGACAGTATTTTTGAAGGTAGAACGCAAATAAGGAATAGAGTGTCGCGTCTCCTGCGATCATTTTCTCGCGCTGCCTTAAGTAAATCATTAATTAATCATAAATCTAAGGGTATTGCGTTTCAATACTTTATGCTAAAACTTACTGCATATGCCATACCAATTTTTTTTCCCGTTAATCATTTTAGGTGCCAACATATTTGTCTCGTCTGATGGTGTTCTCAAGTTGGGGGACTTTGGTTCCTCTATTAAGTTAAAGAATCCTCTGCACACAATCTATGGAGAGATAAGCAACATACGAGGAACAGTGGGTGAGTAAGAAATCATTTACCTCACATAAAGCATTCTATTTTACTTGGTTTGCTTTTTATTGTAATCGTTTGAGATATGCTAAAGCCATCCGTGACAAATGTGTTCGCGTTGCTATGGGCATTTTCGAAAATAAAACAATACATTTGTTTCAGCTTACATGGCACCTGAGGTGATAACACTGGATAAAGGAGCAGGGTACGGAAGAGCGGCAGACATCTGGAGCATCGGATGTGTAGTGGTTGAGATGGCAACAGGAAAGGTTGGTATTGAGAGAGGGTGATGGGATGATGGCCTTTACAGCAAATGGTGAAAATTTTGGTTATTTTACGACCAACGGTTAACCCAAAATGACGCAAAATGACACATTGCGGAAAGAAAAAATTCTCACGGTTAACTTTTTTAACGACTAACGGTTAAAACTTGTCAATTTTTACGACCACCGGCGAAATTGTTTGGCTGTTTTACGACCAACGGTGAACCCACTGAGACCTCTTATTGATCTAAAACAGCACTTTCACTCCAGGAGGTTACTAACAAGCGACTTCTCCCTACAAACTCCATACGTTGTACAGCAAACAGGTTATGAGAAGAGACACAGGTATCTCCCATTGAGTGTTAGCCTAATATAAAACCGAATTGTCTTCATTTATTACCCGGGATTTAGTCAGCAGCTACAAAGACAAATACAAATCATACACTATACCTCTCAACTAAGTTATTTGCTGAATCTTGTCCTCAGTTTATTATTATTTTTTTTAATGTATAGCCTCCATGGCCCGATTGCGATAACAACTTTGTGATCATGTTCAAAGTTGGCGAAGGAGCCACGCCTGCTATCCCTGAGAGTTTAAGTGAAGAGGGACAGGATTTTCTGCTCTGTTGTTTTCTGCATGATCCTTATGAACGGCACACGGCCAGTCAGTTAATGGACCATTCGTTTGTCAAGGTAGATCTCTAAAGGTATCGCGTACAAGTTGTATTTCAAGCAATAGATATCTGACCCCTTGATGATAGATGATTAATTGATCCGCACGTGTAAATGGCAATTTTAGTAATTGCAGAAAGTAAAACTTGGCTCGAAAAAGAATGAAGACTTCGAGTCTCCGGTTACTCGGATCCCACCGTATCTTGGACTTCTTGGTTTCTCGAACCATCTGTTCTCTCGACTTCCACAGTACACCGAACTCTCGGTTTTTCTAGCCCCACGGTATCTCGGACCCTCTGTTATCTCGAGCTCCACAGTACTCCGAACACTCGATTTTTTTAGCCCTACGGTATCTCGAACCCTCTGATATCTCGAGCCCCACAGTACTCCGAACACTCGGTTTTTCTAGCCATACGGTAGCTCAAACCCTCTGTTATCTGGAGCCCCTTCATATCCCAGATTCACGGTATCTCGATCCTCTGATCATTCCAAACCTATCAGTATCTGAACCAGGCTAATCCCGAGCCCCAGGGTATCTCAAACTATTTGAAGCCCTTCTCTATCGCAAACCCGTTCCGGATCAATATCAGTATCTGGGCATCCCCCGTTCGAATCTAGAACCGCTTGTTATTCCGTGCCTGGGTAGTTCGAACCCCTTCGGTGTCACGAACTTCTGGTTTATGAAACCACTCTTTTTGTATGTCCTCTCCGTATTCATCTCCTTTCCCATCAAGACCAGTATTGTTTGATTCATCAGAGTTGTGGAACCAGTATTTGGAAATTAGTACTAAGATTCAAGTCTCGTACCTTTTCAGTTGCGTACCATTCGAATAGCGGTTTACTCAAAGCACACACTTTCATAATTGTTACTGTTTTTTCTCCGCAGTGCTGTTAAAGTTTCGCACAGATTGGAGCTACTGAAGTGCTAGTGGAAACGTTCTGAACGAATTTGTTCAAGTACTACCGACTTGGCAGTAATTTAATTCGTGGTTAAAGAATCATCGGAGGACTGATTCTCGATCCGCAAAGATCAAAAGTTTGTCAAAGCTTGCGGGTCTCGCCCTTATAGTTGCTAAGCAACTGTGAACTATAGCGTTAAACCTATCAGACAACGATCGGAGAACTCGTCAGTACTTATACTAGAGTTTGATTGGTTTGTTAGAATTGGATATTCTCCGTGAACATAAAGAAGGCTAGGAAAAACGAGGCTAATTGTCCCGAGTGAAGAGTTAAAAAATAAACTAAATTATCACTTAAGTTAATTAAAATTATATCCATTCAGATTTGTATTAAAACAATGACTTTGTCCAGGCTAATCCGGATAAATTTGAAAACAAAGATTTTCCCTCGTAAACAAAGACATTTTTTCCTGTCATCCTATTGTTTTTGTACCATTTTGTGTACTGAGCGCCTTAATGGAGAAAACTGAACCCGGTTTTAAATTTATCTGGACTAGTACAGACAGGGTTAAACAGTGTGTAAAAATATGGCAATGGATGTACGTTGCTATGAAGTATATTTGAAGAAAATCGCGCATGTTGTTTCGATGTAAACTTTGGAAGTAATTGTTTTCGCTGTTAATAATTTTTTGATTGCGAGAATGAAAATATGATACTTTTAAGCGGTGCAAGTGTTCAAATAGATTGGTAAAACCTCACCTGTCGTTTCAAATATCTAAACAAACTGCTCTTGAATTTATTCAATTTTCACTGCATGGAATACTGAAGAATTTACATTAGAATTTATTTTGAAGTGTGGACTGAGAATAATAAACCATTAAAATGGTGAATTACAGTGTTAGTAGATATCACACAAACTGAATAACCAGCGCATCAAAAGATAACTTTATCGCTGACGGTATTCGATGTATTATAGTTTAGTTGGTATGTGCGTTATGATTGGTCAATTTAGCGGGCCGTACTTTATTGTACCGCCCGCTAAATTCAAATGTTTGTTGATTGAAATCTTCCCCTGAATTTGAACCCAGAGTTAAAATAGTCTTACTGACATCATTTTCTCGATTCGTACTGTAAGTTATGGATCCTTGTTTTTTTCCGGTCGGGGAAAAGCTCGGTCTTTAACTTACAGGGACTGTGAATTCTCGCTCAAGGGTATGTGATGGAAATTGGGGATAACTTCCTGTATTTCAGGTAACAGTCGCCTCGTTTATCTTAATTTCCTAGGCGGTGATCAAAGGGAGACGGAAAATTTCTTTACATTACGGCTGCATGTTTGGATTCACCCCATCGAAGGGGAAAAAAAAAACAAAAGTACGCCAACTGGTGTAGGTTTCAGAGGCATATTGAAGGTTGAATAAATTCTCCGCTTCGGAAGCATATCAAACTGCAAGG